TAACTCACTTAGGGACACCGTAGGACACATGGCTTTTGTTTCTCAAATTGAACCTACAACCATTTCCGAAGCAATAAACGATGAACATTGGACCTTGGCTATGCAAGAGGAGCTAAACCAATTCAAACGGAATGACGTTTGGGAATTGGTGCCAAGACCCGATGATCGTACGATTATTGGTACGAAATGGGTGTTCCGTAACAAACTTGATGAAAATGGAATAATCACTAGAAACAAAGCTAGGCTCGTAGCTAAAGGCTACAATCAAGAAGAAGGCATTGATTTCGAGGAAACTTATGCACCTGTAGCACGTTTAGAAGCTATTTGTTTACTTCTTGCTTTTGCTTCGTCTATGGATTTTAAACTTTATCAAATGGATGTTAAGAGTGCCTTCCTCAATGGTTTATTCAAGAGGAAGTGTATGTTGACCAGCCCCCGGGGTTTGAAGACTTTGAGTTTCCCGACCATGTCTTCAAACTCAAGAAAGCGCTCTACGGTCTTAAACAAGCACCTCGTGCTTGGTATGAACGTTTGAGCAAATTTCTTTTGGATAGTGGTTTCCAAAGGGAAAAGGTAGACACCACATCTTTTATCAAGAGTAAAAACAATAACATCCTTTTGGTTCAAGTTTATGTAGACGATATTATATTCGGTGCTACTAACGAGTCTTTGTGCAAGGAATTCTCAACGTTAATGACAAGCGAGTTCGAAATGTCGATGATGGGGGAGCTCACATTCTTTTTGGGACTCCAAGTCAAGCAAATGAATGATGGCACGTTCATTTGTCAAACTAAATATTGCAAGGAGCTCCTAAAACGGTTTGAAATGGACAACACCAAAGCCATGGCGACCCCGATGAGCACGTCCGACCATCTAGACAAAGACGAGAAAGGTAAGGAAGTAGAAGTCAAAACGTATCGAGGTATGATTGGATCCCTTCTCTATCTTACCGCTAGTAGGCCGGATATCATGTTTAGTGTATGCCTTTGTGCAAGGTATCAATCATGTCCGAAGGAATCGCACTTAACAGCCGTGAAACGGATCATGAAATACCTTGTTGGCACGGTTAACGTTGGACTGTGGTATCCAAAAGGCTCTTCGTGTCATCTCGCTGGGTATTTGGACTCGGACTTTGCCGGTTGCAAATTGGACCGTAAAAGTACAAGTGGGACTTGCCACTTACTTGGTAGCTCTTTAGTTTCATGGTTTAGTAAGAAACAAGTCAGTGTTGCGTTATCCACAACCGAAGCGGAATACGTTGCCGCCGGTAGTTGTTATGCTCAAATCCTTTGGATGAAGCAACAACTCGTGGATTATGGCCTTAGTATCAGTCACGTTCCACTCCGTTGTGATAATACTAGCGCCATAAGCTTGACGAAGAACCCCGTTCTTCATTCAAGAACGAAACACATTGACATTAGGCACCATTTCATTAGAGATCATGTTCTCAAAGGTGATGTCGAAATTGAGTTTGTTGAAACACACAACCAATTAGCCGACATTTTCACAAAACCTTTAGAGAAAGAATCGTTCTTCCACATTCGTAGTGAACTCGGAATCCTTGACTCCACGATGATCTAATTTGTGCATTTTATCACTTCTTTTTCTTTGCTTGACCGTTTATTAACTTGAGTGTCGGAGGGTTTTCTAACTCTTTTTTGCAGGAACGGTTCGAAGTGAAGAATTCTGAAAATCAGGGGGAACCAGCGATGGGTGCGTTATACCATCGCTGGGAGGGAAGTCTTCACTTTTCCAGGACCCTTCTTCCCATCGATGGGTGCTTCTCCCCATCCATGGGTAATTGACTCTCTTTTTTTAAAACTTTTAACGGATTTCCAGAAACACCTTACCCATCGATGGGTATTTCATCCCATCGCTAGGTGAATGTTTTTAATTTCAAAATTTTTTTTCCAGAACCTCCCTACCCATCGATGGGAACTTTCTCCCATCGCTGGGTGTTTGACACTATTTTTTAAAATTGTTTTTAATCGGATTCCCAAAATCACCAACCCAGCGATGGGATGGTATTAACATCGCTGGGAAGGCTTTCGTCTTTTATCCTTCACTTTCCAGAACCCACCTTCCCATCGATGGGAGAATCCACACATCGCTAGGAAGGCAGTCTGATTTTCTCCTTCGCTTTCCAGTAGCGACCTTCCCATCGATGGGTAGATCCTACCATCGCTGGGAAGGCGGTTGAAGTTCAAAATTTTAGAACCGTTGGAGACAGCATTAATGGCCCAACAGCTCTTTTTTTCAAAATTCAAACGGGATTTCCTCCTCTCCCTATATATTCCCTTCACCCTTAGCCATTTTAAACACACTTTTATCTTCTCAAATTGCCTTGCTTAAGTCTTTTCTACTAAACTCTTTCTTTTTTTTAACCACACCACAACCATGGCCGGAGGAAAGAAGACAAAAGCTTCGAAGAAGAAGGTCACCATCGAGGCTACGAGCTCTGCGCCTCAACCGTTCCCCTACCTGGACGGCTCATTTCTTGAGTTCGGGTCGGAGGAGGAACTCAACCGGTTCCTCACGCACTTTGCCAAGCGTCCCATTTCTCCGCCTAGGGTGCTGCCCGAGTTGTACCCGCAACAAAAGGGGTACCACGACCTCGACAATCAGCTTCAAGCATCGGGTCTGTGGTCGTTCGTCTCCAGGAGCCGCTCGAGCTTCAATCCCGCCTTTGTGCGAGCCTTCTACTCCAATCTCCGCCGTGACGGGGACACCATTCGCAGCAGCATCAATCTCTACGACATAGAGATTGATTTTTCCTACCTTTGCTCGGGTCGCAGGGCTGCCCATCCGCGGTGACGACATCGCAACCTATGGTGGCGACGATTGGATCCTCAACAACAAGGCGGTCGTCATTCGTGAGCTTGGGATCACCAACTTGATCCGCCACAGCGGCGCACCAACAATTCACTCGGCCCCACCGGACAAGCGCCTCCTCCTCTACATCATCACTCGGATTCTCCGCCCCCGGGACAGCAGCCATACCTCGCTCTTCAACGAGGACTTGAAGGCGATTCATGCCATCATCCACGGCGCCTCCATCAATTGGGTGAAATTCGTGATGATCCACATGGCGGATTGCGCCTCCATCGCCACTGAGCGGAGCTTGCCATACGCCTTCCTCGTCATGGACCTCATCATCTCTGCCGACATCTCCATCGCCAGCCCAGATACGAAGATGACAAAGATTTGGATAATTCAAGACAGCACCTTCTGGAAGAAGTCCGGA